CATTTTTTATGGCCCGCACAAAGGTGGTTAATTTTTGTGTTTTATTTTTTTCAATAAAATTTTCCATACAATTTTCATTACTATTCAATTCTTTTTTCGTTAGAAATAAAATCTAATCTAATAATTAAAATTAATAGTTGATGTTTATTCTATATAGTTATATAGTCAGTTTAATCAATAAAATTGTTATTATTATCTAGTCGGAGTCGAAGATATTGATGGCTGCACTACTCAGTCATAGGATAAATTAAATATACTTATATATATTTAAAAATTAAAGTTTTAAATATATTTAATCTATGTATTTAATACATATGTATCTAATATATTTAATCTATGGGCATGGTAACTTTGTGTTTGTAGCAATTAGTATTACACCGTGATTACGCCCGTAAGTGTGACCGTAAGCGTTTGTAATAGTTTCATTTTACAAGTAAATCCAAACATTATGGCGACTAAAAAAAAGAAAAAAATTGGTGATAAACATCGTTTTTTTAATAATTCTTGGGTTGATTTAAACTTTTTCGTCGAAAATAAAGGTAAGTCATTATGTTTAATTTGTCAAAAAATTAAATTTTGTCTTAAAAGCAATTTTTTCCAGTAACATTCGTATTTTTTACACTTGTATTTTTATGTAAAATAATCAAATATAATAGCAATACAATTATTAGTATATATTATATGTAAAAATATTTTTTTTAATGTGGCCCTTGATAAATATTTGAAAAAAAAAATATGGCCCGCGTGGTTCAAAAGGTTGCCGACCCCTGAGGTAGACTGATTATATTATTTTAAGTTTAACATAAATATACAAATATAAAACATGATGACAGGTATAATTTTTGGTATATTGATTGATACGTGCACTGGACTGGATGCTGATATAGTGTTATGAGATTGAAACAAATTTATATACATGAAGACGAATCGGGGTGAAATATAATATATTATGCATACAATTGGTTTATTAAATGTTATAAAGGCATTCGAATTGTTGGCATATATTCATTCCAGATTTTATGGGAAATTTAGTCGTGGTATATTTCGTTCAAAGCTCTCGGTGAAAAATGGTTCAGGTCACAAAAACAAGCAGATTATGGCGTATAATATGTCTTGAAAAATTTAAAACAGTATATAGTGTGAATCGATTTAATATATTGTATATAATCTATATTTTTCAAAAATTATCACGAAATATCTTAACCTCAACACATACAATGTGGATCGGAACCAGTGGCCGAAGTAAGGAAAATCCACAGAAGATCTAGATACTAGAATCCGAAGCTATTAATTAATTGCATTCAAAGAATCGAAAACTTGTTAAAAATTTTAACATTTTACAATTTAAGTATACGTAAACTATATATTCTTGACTTTCTGTTATTTTAATTTTTTTGCAGTAAACTATATTAAATATTTAATTGGTAAGATATTTTGAGACGATTTACACTGATATCAACCAGAGTAGCCCTATAGTTTGATTGAAAATTTATATTTTTGGAAAACTAGAACCAAAATTGGTATAGATTAAAAATATTTAACGAGAATAAAAAAACGAAAACTGAAAAATCCAAAATATGACCATTGCAATACTTGGCGTGCAAACTCTGATTATATTATATTAATATTGTAAACAAACTAAATGAGAACATTTTTGAGAAATTATTACTGCATACATAGAATAGTGACTCGACAGAGGCTCTAAAAGATGCAGTCGTAGTGCTGTCCAAAGTTAGTATATTATACTAGCATTGGGCTTACGAAAGCGGAAGCTTTAAAAATATAATTATAAATAAATAGTTTATATATAAAAATAAAATAAAGTGTTTAGGCTGAAGTATTATTAAATTTACAATGTATGACTAGTTTCATCATCAGGTATACAGAAAAACGGCATTAGCCTGTAAATTTAAAAATAAAAATAAATACATAAATTAATTAATGTACGAAGTCAATAAAATCGCTATTTAATTTACATATTAATTTATGAGTATTAACAATTAACTCAATTTTATTTTATTTTATTAATTTATTAATGAAAACTGTATTTTTAAGTTACATTAGGTTACCCGATTTGTACCAGTATATACCAGGGTTTAAAATACAATTTAATAAATTATTTATACATACTCTAAACCTAGGTCGATGCGTCTAAAACGGCAAAAACTCCCCGAATTCTAATGGTTTTCTTTTTTCGGAGAACGTTCCTAGTATTGATGATTCGAACGCGTGTCAAGTATCTACTATTGATACGATTAAAGGTCTATTCACATATGCAGACACCACGCATGGCAGACACGTATCGTGCCAGACACAATGATTTATAACAAGAATGGGCAACTCAAAGTTACTAGAGGACCAATGTTTAGAAAGTTAAAATTCAGCGGGCCAAAGCATAGGAAATAAAAGTCATTCAAAATATGAATTTTAATTAGTATTTATATACATCGAAATAATAAATTCAACACACACGCCAGCGCTACACGAAAGATACGAAGAAACTGATATAGTTAAATAGTTCGGTACAAACAGCTATGTTTGAAAGCTATATGTATACATATGGTATGTATCAGCGTTTCTCAACCGGGGGTCGCGACCCTCAGAGGGATCACGAAAATCTTGACTTGGGGTCGCGTAGGTCAAAAATAATAAAACGCTGATTTAAAAAATGTAAATTCAAATCAAATTTTCACCTAATATAGATGGAGGGGTGGTCGCGAAGTGATTGACCATATTTTATACCTATTTTGAGGGTCGTGACACTAAAAAGGATGAGAAACGATGGTATATATGACATTTAGACATTTAACAATGTTTAATATCAGATAACAATTATTATATTGATAAGACAGAGTTTAGACGATAAACTTTAAAATTGTATGATGTAATTTGAAAATATAGCACGGGTCGGATAAAAAAGGCTCGCGGACCGCCAGTTGTCCACCTCTGATATATAAGTATACGTTATCCATGAACATTTTCACATCTAGGGTTTGTCAACGTTGCGTGTACGCGCAGACAAGTTCCGGCACAGATCGACAAGCTCGAGGTGAATATTTTGTCTGTGCCGGTCAGGTCTATACATGTCAGCGCGTGTCTGCGCGGTTGTTGTGAACACGATAACGACCATGTATGCTGTATGTACAGTTTTCGCCATCTTCAAAATTATTAAATTATATATTAATTATTCAAAATGGATCACGAAATTGAGCTTGCGATTATCGCCAAATCTTCCGCAGAGAAATTACGGACACATTTTTACGTCTGTGTTACTCTACGTACAATAATCCACTACATCACTACCATTGCTCGAAATGGGAAAAATTAAGTAGGGGAGCTCAGTCCAACGATTTGAAAACTGCGTTTCATGTGCGCAATTATTTGACACGGACCCGTGAGAGACTTCCCCCCTCTTACCCCTCCACCAACCTTTTGAATACCACTTTTCAGCTAAACAAATACTCGTATTTAAATCCCAAATATAATATATTTTGATAGCAATACCAACATCCTATATGTTACAATAGAAAATAAAAATAAAATAATAATTAACATAGGCAATTGTAGGCGATCAGGCAGTCTCATGAATCGAATGATATAATCATATATTTGGTTTTTGTTTTTATCTATTTTTACTCTTTAGTGCGGGCCATGACCTTAGAAGATTAGTCTAAGGTCGTGGTGAGGGCATTTATTTTTTTTCCAAAATAACGATATCGTCGATCGCCAATATTAATAACAAACCGTACAATGTATAAAGTATAATTCCAAATTCACCAAATTCACAGACATTACTATTTATATTTTTCCAGAAATGACGACGTTGTCCCTTATCATATCTTTAACTATAAAATTAGTTTTGATATTATAAATCGTAAAATTCATTTTCCAATTGACGTAAATTGAAATTCACATAAAAATTATTTTGAACATAAATTAAGATGAAAGTGGCGTCCCCCCCCTCGTTCCGGTGAAAAAATATAGTCGGGGTACGCAAAAAAAAAAAAAAAAATAGTACAGGAGCTCCGTCCCCCTGCGCACCTTCCCAATTCGAGTACTGATCACTATTAAATTAATTTGCCTGATGCCTACTACTATAGTGTCTGTGAAGTGCTGGTTATATATGAAAGCTACTGTCTATGCCGTGTCTGCCACGCGCGGTGTCCGCATATGTGAATAGACCTTAAAAAAACAGCGCATTACCAATACACTCAATTGCAGTAGATACCCGAAAACATCCGGGACACATGTTATTACAATAATAATAATGATAATAAACACTAAAATTTCTGTAGGCAGTGTAAACAGTACGAGAAAAAATATTTCGAGGAGTGTTTTAAGGTTTTTAAAGGCTACGATGACTGGTTAACAACAAATAGCAAAAACGACGGAAAATTTGATATTAATCGCCGTTACACATCCAATATTTCTCACGCGAACAATAACCGCTGCGACTATTAACTGTGGGTGTAAAAATTAGTACGGTTGTAAAATATCTTAGGATTTCGCGGTCAAGGGGGCAAGGGGGGCAAGTGCCCCCTCTGACAATCTTTTGAGAGATAAAGGTATAATTTTGCCCCCCCAAATAATCCAACAGTACAAATAGTACCTATTATTAATGAACTCTTATGGATATTATTTAACAATATTGGTACCTAGTACATGTTACCTACAATTTATATTTATCTAAACCGTGTAATGAGTTAAAAGACTTGTGTAAAATCAAACAATTAGATATAGTGTACAAAATACATACAATAAAAATATGTTTCAACTGATGAGGGGGAGGGATGTTAGGGTTTCGGTAATAATAAATATATTATATTGCCCCCCCCCCCTAGGTTTTTTTTTCAGTTACGCCACTGTTAATAATAATAATAATAATAATAAAATTTAATATTGTTACGGTTGCGTGTAGTCTGGATCGCCGCCGGTCGCCGCGCACGGTTATTCGCCGCTGACAGTTGGTCATACTCCCCCACCGCCGAGACGCGAGACACTCGCCGCGACGATACCACATGGGCCGCCAAAAGCTTGGGAATCCGTCGCCGCGACGGTAGTTCAAGCGAACGTCGTTCGCTCCGCGGTGCACCGGTCGTCCGTTTCTCGCGTGTTCCGCCTCTTCGTGACAACTCGTCGCCGTCGTGTGATTGCCCTCGCCGTAAACAATTGTACACCATGGCGGTACAGTTCTAGCACATCGGTTGGCTCGCGTTCGTCGACGATTTCTAGGTATGAAAACGTTAGATTTTTTTTAATTTTTTTTTTTTTTCCATACTCTCATAACTCATCCGTCGGAAATCGGCTGCGAAATAGAGTGGTCGGGATGATGACGGGGAGCGGATCCAGCGCGACGGCGGTCGCGTCGACGATTAATTATTATTTTCCGATAGTATTGAGGGTAAACGATACTACGCTGCGACGTCCGTTTCGTGTCGTACGTGCTCGAGTATATTATTTATTTTATTCTTGATGCCCAAACTGCAAGTGCACGTTAATTATGATGTAATGCGGTGGTGGATTCGACGGCGTATGTCCGACCCACCCAAGGCTTATGTATTACACGTTCGTATGGTGGCACCGGTTGAATTAGATTTTTTTTTTCTACAGCGATTTTCACCTTATGATTGACATTTTTTCATTGAATTTTCTTCCGAAATCCATCAACATAGGTATAATGAATATCGTGCACGTGTTACATAATACATGGACTCTGAAACGAAATGTCAGATTGGCGTATCATTCGTCTTGGATCAGCCACCGACGCGCACGTATATAATATATTGGTATGATTATATTACAGGCGAAACTACGTGTACGTGTAGAGCGTGGACCGTAATCACTCCTCCGAAAAATGATTACTTTTAGAACACTTTTGGAACATTAGGACAACAATATTGTTTTCACCCTATTTCTGACACCACTGCCCCCGGTAAAGACCGCTCATTTACACCTACTGTTACCAGTTACCACGTATGCGCTGTAAATGCCTACCAAGAATGTAATGCCGCGGTCACCAAACATTTTACGTGTACCTACGTAGTATACCTATAGTGAATAATACCATGTTAGAAAGTTTATTCGCCTGTTAATTTATTATAATTATTTTCATATATTTTTTTTTCCGTTAAACGTGCTCAGTTATATTCTTTTGTATTTGTATTGGTTCACTTTACAAACGCGTGAGTTCCATCTAATGTTATCTCGTGTGTGCGAAAATGAGCTGCCAATTTGGTGGCATATTATTAATAAATCCATCTCAGGATTGTTTGTCGAAATATGTCAAAATATAATTGATGTCGAATGACAGAGTAAAAATTTTCTGTCATAAAATCGAAAAATCGTTATCAAGTTGTCCGCGATATCCCCTTCGTTGTCGGGAGTGTACACAATACTACCGAAACTGGTTTGTATATATATATATAATAATATATAATAATAATCAGCATCTATAATATTCCGGTTAGTGTTCTATTCTTTCTCGGTTAATGTATTAAAATATTATTTAAACCGTACAATGATGAAATTATTACTATCATCGTCTTAACGTCAAATTTGGTCGTTACTTTTTAACTTTTAAACAATTGTATTGCAAATTGTATATTTATATAATTTTATTATAGACGTGCGTGAGAGACAATTTGATCGTTCAAATATTTGTTACTAGTTCATTTCAAACGTTACGACATAGACAATGTTGATCGAGTCATTTATTCTTTGTTTTTTTAAAAAAAAAAATTTCCAATAATAACACATTTTTCTTTGAGTAATATTTTTTATTATACCTATAAATTTATTATTAAAATTAAAACGATCATTTTTTCAACAAGTAAACTTTATATCACTGAATTATCTTCACTGATGTGTGCCCCGTAGTGTTTTTTCATTATGTCCAAATCATATTCATTACAGTAAAATAATAATATTTAAAATTATGATGTTTATACAGAAATGTAGTTCTAGCAATTATATAACTATAAATATAAAATGTAATAACTAAAGTAACTCACTTTAATGGTTTTGTACTTACATAAATTAACTTATTAATCACGTGAATGCACGTGTGATTTTTATAATAAAAACCAAATAGTAAAAACATTCTTTTACAAATCATAAATCAAAAATCATGTGAAATGTGTTTGTCCTCATTTATTAATCTTCAATTAACTTACATTAATATATATATACATAATATATGCATATCATAATATGTCTAATAGCATTTATTATTATAAATCTATTTACCGCATTAAATCGTCATGCTTAATTTTTATTTTTGTGGAATTAATTCGTGTAAGAGAATTCGACTTGATGAATTGTTAACCATTAGTGGCGTAACGTTTTTAAATTTTAGATTTCGTGATTTTTAAAAAACACAATAAAAACTTTCTACCTTCTTTGGTTTAGTTTTAAAATTTAGGTGGTGTAGGTGTTAATGAGGGTTTTTCCAATAAAATATTTATAGTTATAAAATTTGCACAATGTAAAAATGTACTATATATTTACATTTAATAATGCGTTTTTTATGTTTGTAAAGTATATTCAATAAAAACAAAAAGATATGTATATATTTCTGACAGAAATAAAACTAATTTTTAGGACTATCATTTTGAAAAAACCTATCGTTATTACTTGACCTATTAGGATAGGTTATAATTTCCTTAGATTTTATTTCCATAAATATTTCATAAACTTCTCATTTTATTAAAGATTCATCAGCTAGAAAGTCATTTACAACTTTTATTGCATATGTTTTGGTTGTAGTATACTTTCTATTAAAATATTCATCGTCTTTTCCTGTACTTAAAGTCTTAGAGATTATAGATTGAGACTTAGAGTCGTTCCTTTTCAGCTCCTTAAAAACAATCATTATTTCAGCCATTCATCCCCTCGTGTACTTAATTGAGGTTATTCTAGTTTTTTTGATTTATGTGTTGTTTTGTTATAGCTGTAAAAAAAATTGAATGGACAATGTAAATTAGTAGAATTAACTTCTTAATCTGTACAATTTAAGGAGTAATATTATACTTGAAAATCCATAGAAAAATAATCACGTTTTTTTGGACAATAAATAATATGAGTATAATATAATTATGAAGAATGTATAATTATTTAAACGTCGAGTATGCAGTGTTGCGTATCATGTATGCGTTCTGATGAAATGTAATAAATACAATTTAAGATTTTTTCTAATTATGTTCGCTTACAATTGTGACCAATTATTTTAGGCTATTTATCTTAGTTCTGTGTTAAAAAAAATATTATTATATGTAACAAAATTTATTCTAAATGAGATTTTTCAATTTCTTTTACTTAAAAACCTTGATTAGATATTATTTTTAAATCATGTAAGTGTGATTGTGCTATTTTATAAAAGGGATTTAGGTTTTTTTTTCATATAAATTTGTAATTCTGTAAGTTAAAAAATCGATAAAACCGTGCACGACGCATTTTGGTAACTGTAGGGTATCAAGTAATGATAATTGTTATTCTAACATTATGTTCTATGCAGTGACATCGGTAAGGGTTGTAGAAGGGTTCAAACCCCCTTCATTGCCAAAATCCCAGCTAGTAAATAAATAGGTAATAATAAAAATAATTACTACCAAAATATATCAAACTCCTCCATAAATAATTTTTACCTACGCCCTTGGTTCGTTATATGATCGCGTTTATTTTATCATTTTATTATGGTATTGGATCATTCATTATATTTTTCTATTTATTAGCATGTCAAATTTATCAGATATTTTATTATATTTTTAAAATTAATTTTGCAGTTACGATTATGCTGAGTTTCCAATTTAACATTGTTTTCTTGTCGACGTATATCCTACATGGTTTTTGGAATATTGTGATATTTTAAGCAGACCTGATGTAATTATCTTGTTGCGTGCCCACTACGTGGGTTCATCATCAATATCAATATATAGATGATATATTTTTGATATTTTTACCTCGGCAAGCTGAATATACTGTAATATCTTATTTAAACGTACATAAATCAAGTATTGTGATGTAGGTATTCATTATAATTGAACAACATTTTCTTAACTTTTATTAATATTATTACAGATCTGTTAAACTTTTTCTGCGTACCACGCTCGTTGTAAATAGGTTTACTTGCATATAGTTGCAGAAATACGTATAGTATGTTGGATTGCGTTATTATATTATGTAGGTTTTGGAGTTTTTGGATTCAAGCGTATTATCATTATATATCATATTGTCCTTAGCTATGTAAAAATTAAATTGCATACATATTTTACTTCTATTTAGTAACCGAGTTCGTCGTTATTTATAAGTCATAACAATCAATATATCTTCGGAATCGTTCTTAGGGTCGTTATTTACAGCATATATTCGATTTTTTGCTGTATAATTAATGTTTTTATATTTTTATCGAATTTTAAAACCGTGCGAGTAATAATATACTTTTAATTTAAAAATTTATTGTACTTATAGTATAAATAAATTGTAGATACTTATTGACAACGCGTAGTTGAAAAATGTATATTGATTATGTGACGAAATGTTATATATCATGCGTTTCTAAAATAATGTATTAATAAAAATTACGTTCTTTGAGTCAATTAAAATTCAATATCATCAATGTTAATCAATTACAGCAGTACAATTGATCTTTTTTATTATTTTTTGGGATACCGTATAAGTGTATTAAAACGTTCGGTTGTAATAGGTATAGACCAACGTGATGATTTAATTATTGTGTTATTTATTGTATAAGATTTGTTACAGGATTTTGTAGGCAATTAACTAAATTGGCAGTCGATAAACTTACGGTTATTCAGTAGGTAGGTATAACATATAGTTACATGCGTAAATGTCGTGTTCCATTTCACGAAATAAATCATACACATTTTTACAAAAGATATAGTAATGTTAGAATGAGTACTTATATTATCACTTGATTTAATGTCTTCTAGTTCTGAAGTTTCAATCATCATACATTAAAAATAATACTTTATTCAACATTTTAAAGATTAATCAAATCTCAACAAACATGTTCTTTCAAAACAAATTATTATTATTAATTATTATTCATATTTATTATTATTATAAATTGGTTTCAAACCAAAATTAACCATGTGTCACATCCATTAAGTATCGCATAAATAAACAAAATGTAACGTGATGTTATGCACAAGCTACAAATTGTAAATACTACTAAAAATAGCAAAAAGATAAATTGTTACCAATTATCCGAATTG